TATTCACTCACACACAATGATAGTCCCTCTCCCTACTAATTAACGGCAAGCTGATTTCACATTCGAATTCAGGTTTCAATACAAGACATCTGTAACGACCCGACTGGTCACTACGCCCGGCACAGCACACTAGAAACACCAGACAGATAGAACAAGTATATGAATATAGGATCTAGAATATATAGATATACAAGGTTCCAGTCTGACTAGAGTTAAAGTGTACTAAAGAAAAAATACAACCAAATGCTACTATCCCACGTAGCCACAAGCAAAACAACATCGCCAAGCAAAACAGCTGCAAGGTCCACCAACCTCACCCCAAGACGCACATATATTCCTGCCCTGCTCCCATACACAGTATGATCATCGCAGTCCAAAAACATGGAAAACAACAAAAGGGTAAGCTAGTGAAATTAAAATTCAACATACAATTATATAAATGTCAATATAAATAACAACAGATACAGTTATCAGCACACTTGTACAGCTTATACCACTCAACAATATCAGCACCGCAATGCGGCAATATCAGCACTGCTTAGCAGCAACAACAACACCACTCTAGTGGCTATAACGGCACCGCAAAGCGGCAACAACAGCACCGCCTTAGCGGTTAGAATCAGCACCACATGTGTGGCTAACAACAGCACCGACTTAGCGGCTATAATATCACCCAACCCAGCATATCTCAGCACAGTACAGCACAGCACAGCACAGCAATTCAACAAAATTATTACTTTCTACAATTCAGCCCAACGGTCTATAATGCCGCTATACTATATAATTTCTCTTATTAATCCATTGATTCCAGCTCAACAATACACCTCTAATACAACTAACATATTTATCTCAGCTTAATCCCCTAATCATCACAACATATTCATCAAATTCGCTTGGTTCAGCATATCACATCATTGATTAACAATTTCGGCACAACTCAACAGTCAATGTCCTATAGATCATCATTTTCCTTGCGCGCCCGGCGCACTCGAGGTTGCGCCCAGCGCGACTCAACCCGAGAGCACCAAGGCTCTCCCGCGCCTGGCGCAATTCCAAATTGCGCCTAGCGCCTGTCTGGCAGAGACTCAAGGAGTCTCGTGCGCCCAGCGGAGCCTAACCCGCGCCCAGCGTGGGGAAGGCAGAGACCTACCAGGGTCTCGCGCCCAGCGCAATTCACAATTGCGCCCGGCGTGCCCTTGGCAGAGACTCCCAAGGAGCCTCCGCGCCCAGCGAGTCCAAAAGTGCGCCTAGCGCAGTCCAAGTATCCCAAAAACATGTTACTCTTGATATCGCGCCCAGCGCAGCTCGAGTCACGCCCGGCGCGGGCCAACCAGAGACCCCCATTTGCAAGCTCGCCCAGCGCACACAGCCTTGCGCCCGGCGGGCTTGCCTAAACAGAGTCTCCTGGTGGTCGCGCGCCCGGCGCGAAGAACAGCGCTCAGCGCGAACTCATCAGTAACTCTCCCAAGTTCGAAAAATTTCCAAAACCTGCAAAATTTCACAGAAAACTCACATGCAAACGGTTCAAAGTGCCACATTTTCATCAAGGAGCTCGAAAGTACCAGCTTTATGCGCATGCAACAACAGATCAAAGAAAATCTCAAATTTTGACTCAAAACCATAAAACCCCAAAACCCCAATTTTTCCAGCAACTCAGCCAAACACAAAATCAATCACCAGCAGCCAAATGAGTTCCTAAACCCATTTTCCAGCCAAAAACGCAGCCAAAATACTAACTTCCCTTACCTCGGTGAAGAAATCCGAGCTTCCGGGAAGAGACGATTGAGGAACGGAGAAGAGAGAAAAGTTGGAGAAGAAGAGGAACCCCCAAATGTTCAGCTAACAACCTTAATCACTCCACACCACCACCTTGAATCCAAGAAACCAAAGTGAAATCAGCCAAAATGAGAATGGAGGGAGAAAAGAGAGTGAAAGGGAGAGTTAGAGTGAGAGTTGGGAGGGGAGTATGGTCAGCTAAGGGTAGGGTCTCACAACATCAACAAGCAGTGGTTCAGGACTTTATTATTAGAGGATAAAAATGTTATTTTAGTATATATAATATAAAAATAACAAACTATATAAAAAAAATATATTAAAGAAAATAAATTAATTATGAATAATTAATTAATAATTATTTTTTATTAGTTAACAAAAGTTTATCTATAATTTGAGAAAAATAAATCAATAATATTAAATATAAAGAGAAAAGTGTGATATATTATTGACCTTTTTTTTCCTTCTATCTTTTAACTTTCTCTTTTTATCTTTATCTCTAATTTCTTTAATTTTTTCAAGTTATAACTTATTTTATTTCATTAAAATTTTGAAATCAATATAAATTTTTTTTGTGATGCATCATTATTATTAATTATTTTTTAATTATAGTAATTTTTAAAGATAATTCCTAATCTCCTGAAAATGTATTGTATATTTAGTTTTTTTTATAGTAATTATGTATTTAATTATTTATACATTTTACGATTTTAACTTTGAAAACTCGAATCATGCATAATATTAGAATAATTATTAAATATCATTTTTTTTTATTTTTCTCATGATAAAAAAATAAATAAATAAACTCAAGGCCGGCGCCATAAAAAAAACCATAAAGCCAGGAAAAGGAATTGACACTATTCTTACTGTTGTATCTAAAATAAATTTATTCCTTAATGTTTTAACAACTTTCTATTTCAATGGTGTAGTCATTTAAGAATTTACTTTGAACTTTTTAATGCCATGTTAACGCCCTCCTTCAATGGTAATCTTGAGTAAGGATCAATTCTTAAACTAAATAACCTAACTACAAACTTTCATGGAGATAGAGCTTAATCTACCAAATTTAAACTTTTAAATTTATCTTAAAACATATTGTCGCTTTAAAACTTTAATACTTAATAATTATTTTTTAATAACTAAATTATATATATTTTTAGTTTTTAGTTTTTTAGCTTATTTGAAAATTCATTTTGACTATTCATCTTAAATTTTGATTGATTAAATCTTTCTAAAACAATGATCAATTTCAATTTTAGAATTTTATTTTTTTAATTAATTTAAGACATAAAATTTGTTTCTTATATAAAAATTATGAAACTCAATTGATATTTGAATTCAAAAGGTTATAAATATAGTAAAACTCAATTGATAAAAGAAATTTATGGTTAACCAAAAGATAATATGATATTAGGTTTTTTATTTTATTTTTTAGTTTCTTATTAGAATCATTTTTATACAATTTTATAATTTTTACGACTTAGTTTTTAGGACAAACATTAAGTAGTTCAATAGTTTTCATATATATATATATA